TCAAAAATCATCTAATTTCAAAATATGTACGTAAATAACTTAAAAATATAAATAAGCGAACAGGAAATATTTTTCATACAATCTACAACCACGTAGTGTACATTCCGTACCAATTCTACGGGCAAAACCTAAAACCAGTTCGACGGAGCAAGCAAGTAAAGAGCAGCAAACACCACAGTTTTTGGTGGACTTGGGGGAACAGCGCGGACGAAACGGCGCACTGCTAACGCACAAACTAAGTACAGCAACAAGCTAATGAATGAATGAGCCGTCGCCGCCGCCGCCACTGGAGCGCTGTTAAACAATTTTGTTTATGTTTGTTTCAAGCATGCGGCCGATATCTTCTAGTGGAGCAGTTTAGTATTTCCATGCCACTATTTTTTTTTTTTTTTTTTAAGTAAAACATTTAACATAAGACAATTAAAAAATCAGTGTGTATCGGCCATGAATAAGAGATACTTTGAAATACATATTGGATCTACCAAGAATACTTTTTTTTGACCGATAACTGACTGACAAACGCCCAGCAGGCAGGCACATTTTCTTTGGGTTTGTGTGTGCGTGCATGCGGGCATATGAGCGGGCGCTAGTGCTCATGAGAGCGTAGAAAGAGCGTGGCGCGAAATTGTGTGCTCAAGCATGCAAAGAGGGCAAAAAAATGCATAAGCGCTAGTATACATATCTAGAAGATATGGCGAAAATAAATTTATATTAAAGTTTTTTTTTTTATAAATTGGCGAAAAAGGAAGAAAGTTTTTTAAAAATATGAGCAGCAAAATCAAAATTCAAAAGCAGCTTTCGAAAAGTTAAGGACAACAACAAATGCGATATTTTATGTTCAAAGAAAAAAATTTTTTTTTTTTTAATATTTGCAAATAAAGGTAATCGGGGAGATTATAGGTTTGCGAAAAATGTTGCCACTTTGATTTGTTAAAAGATATCTATGTATACCTATATATGTACGTATGTATATATGTATGTGTGTATATTCAACGTGGCAGAGTTGCCAAGATGTGTATGTATACTGAAATAGTTGTATGTATACTCAAAAACAACAACAAAAAATACTCTATAACTAAAACCCTAACAGCAAAGAAAGCCTACTTCCTTATCCATATATTTTCTTTCTTACATAAATTTAACAATTTTCTGGTTTTTTGTTGTTTATTTTAGTTTTGAACATCTTTTGCATAATTGTATCTTTAGCGGAACCGCGAAGAAATTGCATACGCATATATGTACAGTCTACAAAGCTACAAACAATAAAAGTAGCAGCCATGTAAGAGAGCGCGGGAGAGCAACAATCCAAGGCCAGAGCGTAATTAAGAGAAGATGAGCAGGTACGTGACATCATTATACTTAGTCATACATATATTTTTATAAGAATCGAAATATATAACTTTTAACAAATTACTTAAACGACTATAGAATTATGTCCCAACAAAAGCTTCAAAGTTCAACTTCGAAATTATTTCAAGTGTAGAAAGTTGAATGCCAGGTGTTTGTTATTGCACCGCATAGACGCTAGCTTTAGCTGGTGTGTTTAGCTAAGAAAAATGTGCAAACTTTGTGTAGATAGGTACAAGAAGCATGCGGGGACAAAAAGAGGGTTGAGCCACAACAAAGTGCCTATCCAATGGAAATAGGTCTATATGTCCATATTTTAAAATCTAGGCTAGAAATGGTTAAGATTTCAAGCCCAGCGTGCATTAAGTGTTAACAATAAAGGAAAGCAGGTATGTACGCCAATCAAAAAGGCAATAAAGTAGCACAGAATTCGCTTGATATAATAAAAATAAGCGAAGTTCGCTGGACTTGCTGTGCGTAAGTCATTTTTTGGGTTAAGGCAGTGAAGAAATTGTATTGAAATTAAATATTTTTCGAGTACAAATTTCAAATTTTTTTTCGTAGGAAAATTAGGGATGGGCAAAAAATTAAGCTTATTTTTTTTTTTAATGGCATAACTTTTTTTTTGTGAACTTTCGTCAGCGTAAATTTCCAATCAAGAAAAATCAACAGCCAACCAAACAGTGAATTATTCGGACATTTCGTCTTTAGAAATCAATCGAGATATAAACCCAATCAAAAGTAGACAAAGTCCACAAAGCAGCAGTCATCACGAGGGAAACTTGATTGCATTGAATATACGAGTAACACACAACCACAGCCATATAGAATCCGGCAAGCGCTGGTACATACTCGTACAAAAGCAGAAAGAGGAGCACCAGCTCAAAACACGAGCTAAACAAGTAATACCTACAGATGAGTGCGAATGCAATAGAACGATCATCTTTGGTTACACATTCATTTGAAGAATAAATATATTTCCGAAGGCATTTTAAAGAAACGATATTTTCGAAATATCAACTCTTTAATAAAAATGTTAGATGTAAAAACTCGTAAGAATTACCAGAAAAGCATAGCAAAGGAAAAACAACGAAGCTGCAGCAATAAAATTGCTATACAACAGTCGCTTTGGTTCAACGGCGGCGGCAACGGCGACTTGTTCCCCCATTTGGCGAAAAAGTGGAAAAGACGAATGCCAACACAGCAAGCATACATACGAATAATAAAATGTATGAATGACGGAAAAGTAAAAATATTAAAAAAAAAAATTTCGAATGACTGAAAATTATATTAAAAACTGAGGGATTTTTGGTTCAATGTTTAGCTATTTTACAATGCTTTTTTCAGTTGGTCCCCTAAAAGAATAATGCATAATGCAACTTATTTACCTAGTCAAACAAACAAAAATGATATTAAAGGTGTTACCAAACTACGGCAAAAGGGGAAATTTTTAGTTATTAATAAAAATAAAAAAAATCATAAATAAAATGCGCTCAATATTGGCACAGCATTCATCATTCATCGCGTCTCACACCTCTACCCCGCCGCGACACACCTTTGCGCTCTATGCACACATGCTGTGTGCACTGTGCATAAAAGTAACAAACCAACGGTGTAGGTCGTGTCTACAGTCAGAATGCGTAATTTCGAAATATATTATTTTTAGTCAGCAGGTTCCAAAATCCAAAAGTTCAAGTATTTAGGCAATAGGCCAAGCCCTAACCATAATTTCCCTGTTTTCTCCAGTAGTATACATACACAAAATGAATTTTATAACGAACAAACGTATGCCCGTTCCGATACCCCCGCTTCATTTCTGGTGATAATATACCAAGTTGAGGCATATGTACATAGGTACATACATATATGTATAAGCGAAGCGTACGATGGCATTGCACGAACAACGACGGCGGCCATATTGGTTTGGGTCGAAAATTTATTAAAATGCTTGTAACGTTTAGCAATTCGCTATCAAGCATGCAATGGCTTTTGAGTTTTATTTAATTTGATGTTAATAGCCTAATTTAGGTTATATGTACACAAGTTCTAGTATATAGAAAAAGGGAGATATTTTCCCCGTAGGTGCATGCATGAAACTTTTATGTGACTCTCTCGAGACATTTAATTCAGTATATATTCGTAACAGTATTTCTTGCGGTTCTTTCCAAATCGGTTCAGATATTGAAATCGAATTTCCATTATCTCTACGTCATCGGTTTGGTTTCTCTTTTTTTTATAGGCTACGTCGCTCTTCAGTAGCCGCATGTAATGGGTTTGTTCGTTTGTGTGTATGTACACATGCATATATATTTTTTCGCCGATGTTTAAGCGTGTGCTGTGTAGAGCTTGTTCACATTTTTCTCTCTGCTTCTTTTTTTCTCTGTGTCTATGTTATCGATTGTAGGAATTTTGAGGTTAGGTTTTTCAGAAAAATTACGCATTTCAACAAATTTCTCAATCGCAATAGGTGCTTTTTTTTTTTAAATATATGGACTTGATTTGTTTCGAATGTCAAGATATCAATATAATATTTGGTTTCAATATTTTCCCATAAAACACTTTACGCAAATAGCCCCCCGAGGATGTAATAACTGGGTGTGCATTATATAGACATTCAACAATGAAATCGGTTGTAACATGATAAGGCAGTCAAATCGGCAAAGTAGTTTATTTGCAAATTTTACCAGACAAAATATATCATCTCGGCACAGCCACCATGCTCAGCAGGGTTGCCATGTGTTCCAAGTACTCAATTATGCCATCTCAACAAAAGTTAATTCATACGATGTTTACATAAAGCGATTACGTTGAATCAAATGTTGCCTGCCGCCCAACTTTATTGAAGCGATTAGTTGAAAGGCCGTTTAGATAAGGCGTCTGCTGTTTTCCACTAGAATGTTGCCCATAAAATCACCTAATAACCGAGCAACCTAATAAAAAGGTAACCTAAAAACATTTTCGTTAAAAAATTTCTAATATAAATGTAGTGCGTATCTAGCGAGATTCAACGGCATGCATAACAAAATTTCCAATTTTCGAGCTGCATGAAGTTTCAAAATCACATTTCCGTTACAAAATAAATACGAATGCAAGAAACCGAGTTTCGGACAATAGAGAAAAAGAAATTTGATGGCGTGTGCAATCGGTTGGATTGTGATTAATTTTGGCAAAATTATTAATGCACTCGCAATTTACTACCTTAAACTACTACAATGATTATACAATTATTATAACACAAATGTAACAAAAGTTAGGTATATCTTTTATATAATTTTCTAAGTAACAATCGTACGGCTTGTAACTTCAAAATTTAAATTATATTCGCAAATATATCTACTTTGGTCATATATAAATATCTAATAATACTCACCAACATATAAACTTGGTATTAAAATATGCATAGGTACTTAATCTATTTGCTTATGCAAAAATATGCAGATTGACAATCCCGCAGTTGGAACAATATATTGCCAGCTAATGGCAACTCTTTTGTATATGTAAAATAATAACGCAAAAATTGGCAAGACGTTTTAAACGCGGGAAGTTATAAACTTTCATACATTTTCCCGGCAGTCAAGACGGAAAATAGTATAAAACAGAGATACCGCAGTAATTAGAATAACTACAACTTATTCAAATGGTGCAAAACTTACTTTTCAGATCAAAGATGTGTATCCAGCGTTCCAAATATGCATTACAATCACGGTAGTTCGCTCTAGAACACAAATCAACGTCAAATCACAGCAAGATTCGTTAAGTTACAGTTATATTTAATTGCAAAAGGTTTATTGTTTTTCAGTCACCAAAAATATTTTTTTTTTACTCAATTAAATTTTTTCAACTGACAGACTGCAATCCGCTTCGAACTACCACGACCATTGACAAGACAACAATAATTTTCGCTTTGTTTAATAGGCACACCGTTAGTGACATCTGTCAAGTGAGTGAACACATGAACGACGAGCCGGACAGGGTTGTATGGCCAGGCGTATATAACAAGGTTTGCATACCATGGTTTTTGAAACTATTTCGATATGACTTTAGCTTTATTTCTTTTATTTTTTAGCAGATAATTATCAGGAAGAGGAATTGGGAAAATTGAGAGAATTAGGCTCACAGATAGCGAAATAAATAAATAGTAAGAAACGCAAAATTCGCACGAACTAGCAAGTAAACAGCTGATCTGTGTATTTGACAATTGCAAATATTAAGCGCATTCATTTTGACCGCTGCTATTTTCCGCTAGTAAAAAAAGAAGAGCGTAAGAACGAAAGAAAGCTTAGCAGCTAGTTTTTTAGGTTGAGAAATGCTTCTAGTATAAACTAGTGGTAATTATCCGTAAAGAAACATAGCTTTTATCACAAAGGTCATTTTGGGGCTATGCAGTTGTGTTTAGGAATGTTCGATATCGTATCGATTATTCTGAATATCGATATTTCATGACACGATAATCAATTTTTTGAATCGATATTCTAAGGTCGCTATATCGAAGACATCGATACTTTACCCGCAATATCGATATTTAAGTTGAAATTTATTTTTTATCTACAAAAAAGTGTATGGAAAAATACTAAAGTAGGTTTAACCAGCAGCTTGTGTGATTTATTTAGCTCTTAAGTTTGAGCCGCTTGAGTCGACCAGCATGCCGTTTTAATCCTCAGTAAATATACAAGATCGAAATAACACAATTAGGTGAGTTAACAGGCAGGTCTAATATTCTATTGAATTGGGAGTAGGATTTTCAACATCGATTTTTCCGATATCGATATTGTTCAGCCCGATATATCGCCATAGCGATTTTACATGCAATCAAGGTGAATTAATATAAGGTGATAGCAGGAGAACAAAAACAAAAATTTACATGTATTTTGTTTTTGCTTTGGCGGCATAAACTGTCAAAAAGTGTGTGTGTGTGTGTGTGTGTGTGTGGAAATTCAAACAAAATGTTTAAATTTGACATTAGAAGCAGTGAGGCGAAACACATACACAAAATCAGCTGATCTAGTAACACCACCTTATATAAATTCGCCTTGCATGCAATGAATTAAATCGATTCATGATATCGATACTTTCTTAAATATCGAACATCCCTAGTGGTGTTCATGGTCAGCTTTGCAGCTGTGTTTATGGTCAGAGCTTTTATTTTAGCTGTGTTTCATGTTATACTCGCTTTATACCACGTTTATTTTTTTCGTATAGAAACCAGATTTAAGCCATTTGAAAAAAAATAAATAAAAATAAATTAGGACAATTTTTTTGCATAAATCAATGCAATTACCTCCAATGAATATTTTTTTGTTCATGATTATATACACTAACTAAAACACTACTGTAATACCTGGGCATGAATCACGTATGACGACAACCGTCTGGACGATATCGTGCTGAGATTTTCTTGTTTCATGAAAACCAAAAACTTTTCGATAGTTTGTGCGATATCGTCCACTCAATTCCTGCTTTACGTAACAGTAACACTAGCACGTAACAGCAAAACAAATGCATGAATCAGTGTTTTGACGACATGGTTTTGTCAGTATCGTTTGAACGACAATCATTTCAAAGTTACGTGGTTCATGCCCTGCTTTTTTATTTTATTGCTGAGTATTTTTACTGCATTACCGACATGCCTAGAATGGCGGTGACAAAAACTGGCAACATTTCCTGGTAATAAATGTTTCCAGTTACAGGATCTTCCGTAACGTGCAGAATAGACCTGTAAATTGTCAAGTTTCGTGTACTTACTTTGACATTTTGGGGCCGGTTGTTCAATGCCTGGTTATCACTACTTGCGGTTACACATCATTACACACCTCCGATTTGTGCTAATCAGACTTTGAACAACCGGGCCTTAGGTTTGAGATCAACTTGAGGTTAAGTTGAGAACTAAGGTATTTCTCAAATCTCCAACGTTGTTTCTCAACAATACCTCAAGTGGAGGATCATAGCGTTCTCAACAAAAAAGGCATTTTTCTTTGTATGAAAAAGGACTGTTTCTCAAGTTGAGAAAATGCTAGTTCGCCACTTGAACTCAAATGTAATTCTCCAATTGGTCTCAAACATATCATTGAAATACTGAAATTGAAATAGTAAAATACCTTATAACTTTTTGATTGAAACGACATACATGCATAGATGAATTTAAATATTAATTTTTCATTTTATAACTCATTTTGTATTATGCAGTTAATCAATATCGTATTACAATAATTCACATCACAGTATAGAGTCCGACAGAAATTTTGCCACTTGATTCACTTCGCGTTTTATTTTCTTTCAAGAATATTTGAGAATACTTTGAAGATTATTTACTTTTCGTTGGTAGTTTTCCCCTCTATATAGCTTTAGTTTTTCACTTGATAATTAAAAATTCGTATCTCTATCACTTTTTACGTATCTGCGCATCGGTTAGAGATGAGTTGGAGAATGATGTTGGATATCAACTTGAGAACTATGAATTTCTCCAAGGTTGGAGGAAAATTTTTTTGGTGTTTATTGGGATATTACATGTGATATTGGACAATTCGGTCATGTCTAGGTCATTTTGAAAAAAAGAGGAAAGACATAATCGCAAAGACATGAAATAGTGTTTTGTGTTGGATGTCGCAGAACGCCCGCTAACCCTATCATCCATTGTGACTGATTTATATTTTCGAATTCTTCATTTATCATATTTGCTTTGTATTCACTTCTTATTGTATTTGCTTTGCTATGTATAAATTTGAAGTTTGCCTTATGTATGTACATACATAAACACTTACATATGTACAATTGAAATTTGCTTATATACATATGCATGTACAATTTGCCGTTATCCTATTTTGGATGAATTTGAATTCATATACTTATGTACATATTTTCGCTGCTGTGAGTTTGCTCCGTCTTTGCCTTTTACTTGCCCAACATTCGTTGGTCAGCAACCGGAGTAACACACAGCAAAATAAACCGTTCCGTTCTTCGTACAAAAAAGTAAATCAAGAACTTTTATTTTTCATAGTAGCTGAATTCTGAACGCGTTAAATTTGTGAATAGCGGACCAACGACTACATTGGATATTCAAGTAAATAATATGAAATTCACGCCAAACAACACTAACGGCGGTTGCTGAGAAGTCTTTATAATTCTCTGGAGGCCTACTTTACACAACAATTTGACAACTAACGTTACCGAATATTTTGTAACGGGAAAATTTTATTACCAAAAAATGTTACCAGTTCCCGTCACCGCCATTCTAGGCGCGTTGATAATTCGTTTAAAATATTCAGCAATACAGCTACAGTATATACCGTAATAAAATATTTCGCAGTTTTTCACCAATTGGTCCCCGAGGAGTACTTTTTGGTTGGGTGCAGCGTTTTCGTTTTGCGTGCACAGCAACACTTACTGTGGGGAATTTCGCCTCATTATTAGAAAAAAGGTCTTTTCGAGGATAAGATATATGTAATTGTGTTATTTACGAACAAAATGTAGGTTAGGTATGGTATCAATGCTTAACCCTCTAGTAGGCTATTTTTTTTATGAGTTGAAAAATTCAGGAATGGGTGATTTTAGCACGAGAAATCCAAAAATGATGTCCATTTCGATCTGTGACAGTAACTTTTTCCTACAGGGGAGAAAAACCAAGACCGTCTGGAGACGGGCTCGCCGATATACTTTGACATATTTTCAGCTTTCTTTTACACAGTGTTGACCTACGAACCGGCAATCCCGTCTGCAGACGGTCAAAAATGCAAACTGGGGTTTTATATGTCGGCAACTTATATCAAAATACAGTGCTTTTAACTACGAAATCCACCTAATTTTTTATATCAAAAAATTTTTCCAAAGAAAAAATTTCTTTAATTACGAAATTACTAAATAGGAAGAAATAATTAATTTTAACCGTGCCTTCACAAACTGTAATTCAACTGCCGATTAAAATAAAACGGATTGACATAACGGATTCAAATTTATTTCGCCGTAAGGTACGGTTTTTGTCTAAAGATCGTGCCTTACGAATATAGAAACAAATTATTATAGGTGCACTAAAAAGGTGTTTAGTTAACGACCGTCTGGAGGCGGTTCAGCCTACTAGAGGGTTAATTAAGAATAATATCAATAGTTAAGTACATATTTAACTGTTGTGTTTCTATAAACTGGAAACTCACATCGTATTTTTTATTAAAAAACGTTATTTTTGTGAATTTATCAATTAAAACTGTAAATTTCAGAATATATTTAAGTCTTTGTTATAAAAAAAAAATGTTTGTTTAGTTATAGAGACTCCAGTGCCTGGCAGCGCATCCCCCCAGACAGCTCATTAAGCACACCCAAGTTTGAGCGGAACTCCTCAAAAATACTTAACATCAAAGTATAGAATGTCGCAAATATGAATCATACACACATACAATAGCAATTACTATGAATTGCTACCGTATAAATTCAGGACACAAATTTTCTTGGAGACAGCGTTGGTTATAGTGGTCATAAATTCAGCCAACACATTCAATGATCCATTACCCGGAGCTGCTCCAACATGATGAGTAGATTTTAGTAGGCCTTACATGCCACTGCCTCTGCCTACAAGCTGGATATCTGGTTTTTGGAAAATAAATAGAAATTATCTCTTTAAAACGACAAGAAATGTTTTTGTTTACAAAATTACCAGTGCAACTCTGCCATAGTACGGTTGTTGGTCCCTTTCATACCACAGTAATTTTGTATGCAAATTCATGTCCCTTCTCATTATCAACCCTGATCAGATTTTACCCCCGAGGAATACTTAAAAAGGTTTATTACTGTATATACTGTGAATACAGCTATGAAGAATTGTGGTAATTCTGGCATTGTATATTTTCCTTATGTTTATTTGCATAGGACACAAAATTTAGAAAAAAGTATCAAAAATGATACAATTTTGACAAAACGGCAACGCTGGTAGTATATAGGCAAATAAAACCCTGGCAGTGAATCAAAACAAATAAACAAAAACAGCTGTTCGCTAATTCTTTTTATACAAAAAAAAATGTTGAGGTTAACGCAGTTGCGTATTGTATACAGCAGATATTTTGCAGAATGAGTAATTTATTAAATATTACCGTTAATGGGATTAGCAATATATTTCGAAACAGCACTTTTCGCTTACTTCATCGGTTACCAACTGTTGTGCCGTCAGTAAAACAGGCATCCAGTCCACAGAAATTAACATTCTTCAATAGATCCATTAATGTTCTACTAAGAGCACCGGCGCGTAATCGTTGTACTCCAGCCTACGATGTCAACACGAACGTTACAAAGGATGTAATACTTTTTAAATATGAGAATCCCAAATACTACAATGTACTGAACATTTTTGCGCTTTGTCAATTTGTTTTTTGGACATACCTGTCGCATTTTGCATTTACAACGCTCAAAGATGCACCCGTAGAGGAAATACCTGGCGAGGAGCTAGCATGGTATCTACGTATTAACCTCGGAGAGAATAAATATAGAAATGGCATAACCATCGTTTGCTTTCTTATAGGCAAGTAGTTATATCTGATTTTGTTATAAGTGATTAAACATAAAATATTTCAGGCTATGGTATTCTTTGCGCCGCCTGGTTGTTCACATTGCGTTCCGTGCGTTACCTTATTCTTCGAAAAGGCGGAAAAGACCTTGCATTCGTAACTTATGGTCCTTTTAACAGAAATCGGATACTGACGGTGCCGTTGAAATTTGTTTCAGCTCAAGAGTCTCGCGAAATGGCACGCTCACAACTACCGATCAAGGTGAAAAACCGTGCACTTTATTATGTACTCGACATGCGAGGAGAATTTCGGAATCCACAACTATTTGATTACACAGCGGGTTTGAAGCGTCGTATTGATTAGAATAAATGTATTGCTAGTTTTATGGCTTAGTGAATAAAAATGTTTATTCAATTTCATTACGATATTTTCTTAGAAACAAACTTAAAGATTTAGCAGGTATTATGTAGTTAGTAAACTGGTTCAGGCTGCTGTGTAATAAGTAATCCAAAACGTTTTTTGATGGTCAAACGTTGCCGAGAGTACTTATCCTCTGGAGAGAAACGCGCCGGGTGAGCTGAAATTGTTGGTTGTCCATCCTCAGTGCGTTTCTACGATATAATAGGGCTTTTAGTTTAGCTAAAACAAGTCGGGAAAATACACTTTATACCTTCAATGTGTAGACGCGCTCGCCTTTTTCGTTTAAAGTGTACATTAAATACATTTTGTTTAAATTTTTGCAGTAAAACAATTGGACCTGAACTTAATTTACTCTTCACACGTGTTTTGGGTACGACAAAAACGAATGTCAGCTCAATGTAGAACGTCAAACTGACGGTGCTCTATTGTAAATGGTTAATGACACAGCAGAGAACGTATATTTATAAATATACGTTCTCTGGACACAGCTGAACAGCTGATCATAGGCTTTGTTTCTTTGCTTTTTTACCAGACATTGTCAGGAAGAAGAAGAATGGCATCATTGAGAAAATTACTCTCCCAGAGAGCGAAATAAAGTAAAGAAACGCAAAACTAGCAGAAACTAGCCATGAACGAAAGACACAAGATCACACCTTCCCGAAAGAAAGAAAAAAGTTATTTTCAAGCTGTTGAAAACTCGACGCCATCTTTGTTGTACGAAGTAAACAACGAAGAGAACAAAAAAAAAACGCGTAATTGTTGAACGCATGAATAATCATTTTTATTATGCAAATTCTTCTATAAATCATGTCGTTGTGTTAAATTATTCTTTACCTTATGTGTGCACACGTTGTCACAAGCGAAAATTAAGAAAATTGCAGTTAAAAGCCACCACCAAATTGTAAACAAGGAACAAAAGTAAACAAACGGCTAATGTCAAAGTCGCCCAACTTTTTCCCTAAATGCGATTATAACGGGCTACTAAGAAGAAGGCGTGATCTTGTATTTTTGGTTCATGGAAACTAGCTAGTAAACAGCTGATCGATGCATTTGACTATTGAACATATTTGGCGCGAATTTTTGTTTATCAATTTTCACAGCTGCTTAAAATGAAAACGTCAAGATCTAAAAACTCTGGTAATCGGGCAAAACAATTTGTATACAAATTTTCCAAAATGTAAAAATCTTTCCTTATTTCTCATCATCCACAATATCTGACAATACGTTACATGACGTTACGTTACTAGGTTGAGAAACAGCCTTTTGTGACGTACGTTCGTAATTTTGAAGTTTGCTATTTCTGTTTTGCTTCTTTCTTTATGTGTATTTTGTCGGTGGTTTTTTTCAGTGATTTTTAAGCGATTTTCAATAAATTTTTTTGTGCAAATGTAATTAAAATGAAGTGCCCGGTGATCGGTTGCGAATACACGTACAAAAATTATAACTTTGTTAGCACAAACATGCGCTACAAAATTGCTTGCATTTTTTCTTTATGCTTCATTCTCATATTCTTTGTTTACTTTTCAAAGAAAATAACATAACGTCGAACTTACAAACATCGGCCAGAAAATTACTTTTTTCTTTTGCTTCATCTTGTCAGATCTTGTGTAGTTGGATCAATGAGTACTATATCGATACTTTCGGTTCGATATCGTGGCCCTACTTCTAAGTACTGCTATCGGAACACCACTAATTTAGCCGAGAAGAAGAAGAGTTCACTGTTAATTGCCTTTGTTATGGACGAAGCGATTCTTGGTAGAAAAATAATAATTTCCGCAGAAAACTAAATTTTGCCACGGATGGTATTATAAATTATAGTGATAATTTGCATTGTGGTGATTCGACTGAATTTGAGAATACTGTAAGCATTAAATTGCGAAAAATGGTGTTGGAAAAATTGTAAGCAAAGCGGGTGGAGTACATTTTGTCAGCGGTAGTAGGGTGTAGGCGCTGTAATTTGGAAATCGATTGGTATTTTAATGAAAAATGCCTACTAAACGTGTAATTGAATAGTAAATAACTGAAACGAATTTAGTTAAAAGCGCGTACTGGTAAATATGTGTAATTATCGTATAAATGTCCTAAAACACTCAAATATATACAGGACGCAAAACAATTGGCTGCTGGAGAGCAGTTGCTGCAGAAAGCATTAAAAGAGGCGCTGGCTATGTTAAGAAGGTAAAATAGAATACATATAAAACCCGGAAAATTTATAAAACCGCTTATTCGTTAAAAATATCAAAAACAATATTTAAAACAAGCGGAGTTATTTTTGTTTTAATCAATAAATAAAGCTTCAAAATGAAAAATATGTGTACTAAAATATGTATATACATACTTACATATAGACATTATATTATGTATGTACATACATGGAAGCCGCATAAAAAATATGAAAGTTTGAAAGCATAAGGTCCAAATATTAAGATAAATAATATGATTTAACAAAAGCTAAGATATTTTTGATTAAACATGTAAGTTGCAACACCATCCAAATGGTTTCTAGACGAAGCATGTGGGTAATTAAGCAACAAAATAGAGAATCTATTTCCGTTGTATCTCAATGAGTTCTGTAATATTCCGTAATAATTTTGAGAAAAATAGTCTATGGAACTTATCTGTTCACTTCACAATTAAATGCTCTTTTATTTTTTCTTTTCTCAAATCTTTGATGTCTTCATTCCCCATAATTTCATAATTTATGGACTTTTTTTTTTGTTATATTTTTAGGTAGCATAATGCCATCGAAAATATTAAGCCACGCCAAAGCCTTCCATAAAATAAGTAAACGTTTGCTTACATCAGAATTACGCCAGCCAAATAAACACATACAAAATATTGATATACAGAAATTTTATAACAAATATGAAAAGTTATGATTATCAGCGCTGGAGCAATAAAATCCATGTATGAATACATATATCAATGAGCGCTTGCATTGCACTAGTTAAATGCGGCACCGCAGATAGACTTTATCAGACAGCTGCATACACACATGTACTCCCGCCAAAGTGTACGTCAACAAATAAGTTTTGTGATATTTTCGTCTATTATAAGTACGATTAAACCAGAGAAGATTAGAAATTGAAACGACAAATACAGCTATAAGAATCTACAAACAAGGGCTAAAAGTTATATGTAGTATTAATCAAGATGATAGCGTTTCGCCATTAGTATATCAATTAATTCTATTACATTACTGGTTGATCTGTAAACGGCAAAGAACACTTTATTCAACAATAACCTCACCACCGTCAACACATCTACCATACAGCTTGTAATGTTGTCCGACCTTGATGACACCGATGAGTTGGACACTATTGCCGATGTTATGGGCTTACGCTCACAGAACCGTCTCAATACATTTCGCGAAATGTGGTATCATATATTTTTGTGGGCGCTCTTCTCCTCCATTTTCATACACACATGCGCGGCGTTGGTTGCCTTTGTGACCCTGCGCAAACACAAATTCGGACGCTTTTTCTCCATACTGATACTGGTAATGGGATTTCTATCACCAGCAATGAGCGGCATCGTTAGTAGTGCCGTGATAGCATTCGTGCATCGGGCCTCTAGTTTGCCAATGTCGCCAATTTACGCGATGGTCTGGGGAGTGGGCCAAACAATAGTGTCAGCGTGTTTAGGGTTTACACGAATATTGGCCACGCTATAGAAAATGGGAACATGCTTGGGGGAGGAATGGCAAAGAGTGAGTGACAGACAGACGGACAGTTCCATATACATATGTATACAGACACACTCGTAAGGTCTTAGTGATAATCGCCTAGTGTTTTAAGTCTAATAATAACGAATGATAAGTAAATTAAAGGAAATACATATAAAAAATATATTAATTCCTTAATTGTGCAGTAAATTATAATCGTTTGCCCATTAGTGTATTTTGTAATTAAGGTTTCTAAACATGTTTGTCTTCATTATGTTAAATAAAATACTTCTAATTTAAAATTTTTGTATTCTATATTTATACCTTCAGTTAAGTATTTCCTGTGTTGACAATTGATAAAAACTATATATACAACATGTAAAACAGAATTAATAAATTATATACATACATACTTAAGTATTCAACCACACATGCATAGAGACATATATTCATTCAACTTTTTACATAAAACATAGCCAGTAAGCGTAAATTAGCCAAATGTCGTAAATAAAAGCATTCAAAAATATAACTAATTGAGATACATACATACATGCATATGTACGTAGTATGTATGTACTACAGCTTAAATTAAAAAACTTATAACTGGACTTTTGAAAGAGTTATAATCTAAAATTTCTACTCGACTACACACCACGCCCTGCTTAACCGCCAACGAACCTAATTTTAACAGTCTATAAAGTATGTACAAATTTTCAGCCAATTAGAGCAATATGCATGACAATTGATTTGTGCGCAAACTGTTGGAATGCTAATACAAAATTCGTGTAGTAGATTACTAAGTTTTTTCTTAAAATCAAAGGCAGGCCTACATATCAAATACATAGACACTGTCAAATAACGCTTTACCATTTGGAAAAGTATATACATATTTGGAAAGGGAAATAAAACTGCTGACGTCTTGAAACATTTCGCAAACACTTTTTGACTTAAACTCAAAAAACTCGAAACTAATTTTTTGTTTTACTTAACTGGAATTAATTCGAAACAATAATAAAAAAGTGTTCACTTGTTTCGTAAAAAAAAAATACCTTCAGGAGGTCGGAATGATTCATTTGAAGACCTAAGGTAGCATACATTTGTCGCTTAACATGGTGCATACAAAATACATTTATAATTTTGTCCACATCATAGATTCACACTCACATCGAAATCGATATTCAAATTATTTCATCATTCAATTTGGCCTAAAAAACCAGTCCAAGAAATTATGAGAAAAATGCAATCAAGATTTTTAGCTAAGATTTTAATACTCAATTAATATCTTCATAAGTATGTGTACGTAGACTTCATAAAACAGTTAGTTTATTTTCTATATTCTCAAGTAATCAAAAAATTTAAATAAAAAACATTTGTATTGCATATTATATTTTTACTCAATGCGATAAATCGCTTAGGGACGACAGAATTAAGAAAATTAATACGATTATTTCTAAATTGGTTGGCAGTCGGTCGAGGCCACATCGTTTTCAATGTACAATTTGTCAAATTACTTAAGCAAATATATACTAAAACAAATGATAGCAAAAATTAATATAGTAAATATTGTATAACAAAATTACGGAATATGCGAATATGTGATTTTAAATTATAATTAATAAATACTATTAGCAATTGTGTATAATCAAATAATATTCTAATTTACGGTATTTAATAATTATACTTATATATAATTAGTCCTAGGTATTACATTAAACATATAAAAATAAATGACCGAATGACTAATTACATACATACATGCATACATATATGAGAAGCCTAATGTTAATGTATGCCTAACCTTAAGAAACGCAAAGGAATAAACCAATTATAAATTATTAAAAATACCACAAATTCATTTTTAATTATTTCGCATTTTTTGTTAAGAGTAAGATGCAACTGAATATTGAAAATGTACTAAATAACAGCATTTGGATCTCTACTATTATACAAAAGATATAATTTCCCACTCAGCACATTTCCAATTCGCCTATCCGCTTGTAGAGGCTGTGGACCAGCGCGGTTGATTTTCAAATCAGCCATCGTATTCTTCTCTTCCGCTGCATCTCGTTCGTATGCGTCCAAAAGTCGTTTTGGGCATGGGTATTGGGCTATTATAGTCTCTGCTACTTCCAAGGTGACCAATGGTAGGCGGTTCAAATGCTGTTGCCACAAACGCCCAAAGCCGCTGGTTCCTACTACGCGCACACATTGTTTTTTGTCGTTTGCTAGGAATTTTTTGAAAGTCCCCAATGACTCGGATTTTTGTTGCTTGTATGGCGCTTCTGCGATGGCCTTGGTGAAACGTCGCAACGTTGCTGCTACTTCCTTTGCCATAGGTGGCACTTGTAAAGTAGCTACTTGGTGCAATACCTGCAAATCAATGAGTGCAGCCGTTTGACTATTCGAATCAGAACTTTTGTCGTCTCGTGCCAACACTGCTATTGTGGGTTTTGCGTCTGGAAAATGCGTGCGGAGATTCTGGACAATTTCCTTGACTGGTTTGCTCTTTCCCAGCTCTTGCGCTGTATGGAACTGCAATACTTGGTTCTCCACGTCCCATTGCGAGGTCAATTGTTGCTCTATATCATCGGTGGATAGTAATTCTCGTTGTCCTGATTGTCGTTCCCAAATGATGCACATTTTGGCCGGCAAGTCGCGGACTACATATTTTAGTTGAAGCTGTTCTATTTCTAATTGCAATTGGAGACCTAGTCCTGGAATGTTTGAATACAGAATCTCGCTATCTAAGACCAGACGCACATATTTCTGGCATTCACCAGGTTTTATGCGTTTTTGTTGATCACGTATTGCTTTTTTATGTAATTTGTCGGCTTTAGTGTCCATTTATTCAAAAATATTCACTTCTACAACTTTGACTTTCGTTTTTGAAATGGTTTTTAAATCACAGGAGGATGGATAAACATTAGGGCCACGACACAGTGTGGACCATGGCAAAGGTGCCAAAAAAAAACCGATTCTGACATCGATTTTTTTTTCATTTTTAACACGCCATCGATGTCTCCCTGCAAAAATCGTTGGACCATGTATTATATTTGTGGTATATTGGAGTACTAACAAAAGTGTTCCTCTGTCATGCTGTAGCGGACCAACTCGTGTCTCTGCGCCAGCTTATTGTTTGTTATCCGATCACTGCTGGTGTTTTAACGAAATGTCATTGAAGTTGAGCATTTGAAAGCACATTTGCATGTCTGGCTGTAGCTGAACGTGTAGAGATGCTCGCTGTTAGTTCTTAGCTCCCAGCATGTTCGGGTTCGAATGCCGTCAGAGGCAACATGTAATTTTTAATTTTTGTCTTGGTTTTTATTAATTTCGAAAAAGCATTTGAGAAGTGAAGAACAAAAGCGTGTACAAACGAAAAAATATAACAACAATGCCATTGTTAATATGTTGGAGTAGTTTTGTGCTACTCTGATGTAATGCAGGGATGGAGTATATGGTCCTGCCCTAGGACATCGCAATGTTAATTGGACCATATTGTTTATATGAATTGTGGTTAATTTTGGAGTACTCCCTGGTCCTTTGGGAGTACTCTTTACACGCATGCATGGAGTAGTCGCGATTTTTGCAGGGCTGTTACAAAGAACGTAAATCTATACATTAAATACATACATTTACGTTCTTTGTACATTTACGTTCTTTGGATTTACGTTCTTTGGTCTAATTTTTAAATTAAAACTAATTTGAGCTATACGGCAACACCAAGATCGAGTCAGCTGGCACAAAGCAGCTCTGTAACGAACAAGATGTAAAAGAGGAATATAAGAGGAAAAGTGATTTTGCAAAAGCCAGATGTCTGGGAAAATTTAATTTGCTGCCGTCGATATCAAAAAATAGTAGAAGTTCTTCAAGTATTAAACCAATATTCCAGACAAAATGAATCGACACGTGGTGAGTAAACTATGCTGCTACTTTCATGGTAGTTTTCTAATAGATTTGATTTTAGGAACTACATGATAGTGATGAAAGTGACAGCGATTTTTGTCCAGAGAAAGATGCCGGCAACGAAGTTTCTGAGGAGGCTTCTACTGAACCATCTAGTTGTAGTGAGGCAGAGGAGAGTTGTGAAAATAGTCCCCAACAACAGAAACGAAAAAAGAACCGTGGACACAGTAGAAAATCCCAGACGAAAAAATTAAAAGGTCGAAAGAGTACACGTGCACAAGACAAGAAGCGTACGAGTGACACCGACGAAGAGAGCTCGACTGCAGACGCAGAGCGCAGACGCAACACTCGTCAAACCGAACTTTCAAAGCGGTTATGTAGTTCTAAAGAAAAAGACACTTTGGAATCTGAAGAAGAAGATAAATCTAGGTCTGATGCACTCTGGGCAGATTTTCTCAGCGATGTAAAGCCGGAACAAACTGAAAAAGTAACAAAATCCCAAACGAATACTAGTAGTAATGATGCTACCTCTAATGGTAGACCAGAGACAGCTGCAAAAAATGGACGCAAAAGGCCAAAGGATGAAGATAAAAGTGAAGAAAAATCTACCTCACAAGAAAAGCCACCAGTTGCAAAAAAACAAGAAAAGCATGCGGTGACAGAAGTTTTAGATTTTGCAGGAGAAGAGGTGCATGTAGAAAAAGTGGTAAATTCTGATAGTGTAAAGGAGAATAAAGAGACAGTGGTACGGGCAGGAACTTCGACATTGCGCGCCGATTTTCCAACAGGTTTAAAACGACCGATGGCTGGTGGCAGTGGCAGCGGCGGTTTGGGCTCGTTACTCAATCAAATTGGAAAAAAGAAGAAAATATCCGTGCTGGAAAAATCGCAATTGGACTGGAAAAGTTTCAAACAAGACGAAGGCATTGAGGAAGAGTTGCAAACATTTAACAAAGGCAAAGAAGGGTGAGTGCTGTTAGAAACTATAAAAGCATTGCGAGTTATCTTAACATATAAACCAAGCCAAAAATCATTCAAATACTATTTAGCTTGATGCATACAGTTGTCTATAATAACGGGTGATTTTTTTGAGGTTAGGATTTTCATGCATTAGTATTTGACAGATCACGTGGGATTTCAGACATGGTGTCAAAGAGAAAGATGCTCAGTATGCTTTGACATTTCATCATGAATAGACTTACTAACGAGCAACGCTTGCAAATCATTGAATTTTATTACCAAAATCAGTGTTCGGTTCGAAATGTGTTTCGCAAACCCAATTGCTGCGAACGGCGACGAATCGACATTTCACGGTCTTCAGCAACACTCTCAGAAACAGACGCAATATTCTCTTCTGTACGCACTGTACGCATTCGTGTGGTTGGTTTAATGTCCAATAAAGTAAACTGAGTGCGAAACTTGGTCACAATCGCATTAATTGTTTGCTCACTTGGTCGATTATGTAGACCATAAATCGGACGTAAAGCGAACCGAACACTGATTTTGGTAATAAAATTCAATGATTTGCAAGCGTTGCTCGTTAGTAAGTCTATTCATGATGAAATGTCAAAGCATACTGAGCATCTTTCTCTTTGACACCATGTCTGAAATCCCACGTGATCTGTCAAATACTAATGCATGAAAATCCTAACCTCAAAAAAATCACCCGTTATAATAGGAATGCGATATTCTGACCAGTTTTGGCTATTTGTATTTTGTTTATTTAATTTTTATAAACGTCCAGCTCGTTACGTACAACACCGTATAAATTCACATTTCAAGCTTTGTACAAAAATTATAAAAATTCTGCGAGTTTTCACTATGATTTCAAACTTTTTTATCAGAATCTTAAGAAAAAAAAATCCCGTTGATTTTTGAGACTTCTTTGAGTTGAAGGTGCTTTACGTTTTTCCTATACAAAGTATTAAATATTCGACAATTTTCTTTTATATGGAGAGCACTGGCAGCAAAAAAAAAAAATGCCAAAAAGCAACGGGATTTTTTCGCAACTTGAAAATTCCCCTTCATTAGATAAGAATTAAATAGGCTACAAAACTGCGTACCCAAATTTTTTCTAAAGATTCTGATTAAAACGTTAGAAATTTGGGTGAAAATTTGCAGAATTTTCTAAATTTTGTAAAAAGATTGAAATCTAAATATATTCGATGTTTATTGTATACCCAGCTTGACTTTTATAAAAAAAAAACTGTTATAGTTAACTTAACTGATCAAAATATAGCACTCCTATTGTTTTTTTTGACCACTGTATGTATAGTAAATGTATGTACTATTAAAAAAAAAAATTGCATCTATGCATCACGCAAATTTGTTTTAAATTTTCAGCTTCTTGGAGCGACAAGACTTCCTGCAACGTACTGATCTACGCCAATTTGAGATTGAAAAGAACCTACGTCAGTCAAGGCGCAACAATTAAATCCTACCGTAGAATTACACGACAAAATACATGCATCCATAATTATAATATAACCAATAATTGACACATTTTACTAATTAAATACATAAGTATCTGACTCTAAATTCAAACCATCTATATATTATATAGTACATAAAACATGCTTGCTGATGTTCAGATTAACTTGTTGATAACCGCCTATTGTATTCCGTATAAGAAATTACAATATAAATACATAATACATACATATGTATATGTATGGTATATTCAATAAATGTCTACTTTACGCATAGAAAATAGCAAAGAAAACAATCGCTTGATATTTCATTTTGGATAGTTGCTAGCCACCGTTTGCAAGAAATCGTGTGACGGCATGTGCATTTTTTTTAAATATTCATGTGAAATTAAAGATAATCTATATAAAATAAATAAATAAATGTGTCTAAAATAAACGAACATTTAATCGCAATTATCTTGTTTTTTTTTCGAAATATGACGTGCTGACTTTTCAAATGCTTTAATTTATGGGGAAAAACGCCGGTGTCAATTGGGACCAAATCGACAAATGAGCGTCTTAATAAGCAGAAAAAGCATTGTTCTAAGATCAGTTAAAAAATTTCAATCTGAAAACATAGTTAAGGGAATTTTGAAAGTCGAAAAAAAGATTTTGGAGTTTGTATCTTAAGTCTTTCGTGATTTCTTGTTTATTGCCCTTTAAATTTGCTCTTAGCTGAAGCGAAGAGCGTGTTGTAACTAATACTGTAAAACACGTGTAAAGTGTGCAAAATCCACACTTAACGCAGAATATAGGAGAAAAATTGAGCACTCATTCACTTCGCTTTTACGAGTTGTAAAACAGTCTGCTTTTTTTTGTGTGTGTGTCAACTTCGCTTGCGTTCGTCGTAAGCTTGGCTCAAAATTCAAAACCACGCTAATTGTTGTCTGTTGACTGCTGTTTGGCAAAAACTTCGTAGACTTTATCAGTGGACGTTCAGTTAGTTTTCAACTGTTGGCGCGTTTGTGACGTCTTACCACTGCCCGCTGCTGTGGTGCTGCGCAAGAAATAAAGGAAGAATTTGTAAATAAGGCTGAAAGCAACATTTGCTATTTGATTTCCTTAGTGATTATAGTGGTTTTATTTTCGATATTTGCTTCGAATACGAATAATATCTATAATTTTGTGAGCTTATTGATTTTTTTTTTTTTTTTATTTTGCTTACCACAGAGCACTTTCTGTTGATAACAAGTGAAGCGTGAAAAACTGACAACAGTTCCGGTGGATTTCCCTTTCATTGATGATGGCTCATGTTAAAAAGCAAATAAACAGAAGTAAAGAAATTGTAAGAAACGCTTGATCAACAATACCCGTAAAAACGAAGCTTGCATTGCTAAGTTGCTAAGGTGCTTAAAGTATTTTTTTTTGTACATTTTGTATGTGTTTTTCAAATTAAAATATGCATACAAGTTTTAAATACCTAACTAATTTAATTATGTATTTGGCATTTATTGCACAAATTTTTAAATAATATATTTTTTAATTTCATTGTGCAACATCAGTAGTGAAAGTGAGTTAAGGCAACTGCAAATAAAACACCAAAAAAATATATACAATTACTCATACATAATATATCTGTATGTACATACATATGTGAACATAGTAGAGCGCCAAAAAGTACGAAATATAAAAATTGTAATAAAAAAAAAAGTAATAAAGTAGTCAGTGACCGCTTCGAAAGCCTTCAATGTAAAGTGAAGCTGTGTTGCAACTTGTTTTTTTGTTTGTTGCTTTGTGTTGCAAGTGAATAGCGCGCCCCGCCGCGCCGATTTATCGTTGTGATAGTCTACCGTTAAAGGAAAAACCAGAGTTTAACTTCCGACAACGCCGACAGCACGAACAGGTCAGAGCAAAGCACGCGACAGAAGTAGAAAGGAAGGATATATGAAACTTGTTTAAGTTGGTGGCAGCGGTGAGCGTGAAAGTGAAGTTAACAGTCACAGCAAGGAAGGCGTTAAAAAAAGGTAGGCGAAATAGAATAAAATAAAATTAATCGATAAAGGAAATAAAAAAAAAAAAAATAAATTAAATAACATACAAAGAGTAATAAAAAAAACTAAATTTAAAACAAATAAAAGTAAACTAAAAACAATAAAATTAATTAAACGAAAAAGTCTAATATAAATAAGATAAACAAATAAAAATTTAATGAACATTATTATAAGCAAAATAAAGTAAATAAAATTAATCTTCGCAAAGCAAAAAAAAAAAAAAATAAAAAAAAAACTAAGACCAAATTATAAAACATGGAAAAAATAAAGGAAATTAAAAGCTGAAATAAAATTAAACAAGGAAATTAAAAGCAAACAAAAATAAAATAAAGCAAAAAACTAAAACAGAAAGTAAGCAAAACAATACAAATAAAAGGAAGCAAAATTATAAAAAAAATAAAAAAATATGTAAAATGAAATTTTATATAAAATAAAGGAAAATAATTTAAGTTCAGAAACATATGAAAATAAAAACTACATATGTAAAAATATAATAAAACAAATTGAAATAAAATAATATAAAGCAAAATTAAAAAAATTAAATACACAAAAAACTTCAAAATTTAATAAAACAACACAAAATAAAATAATTTAAAATTAGAAAAATAAATAAAAGTAAATTTAATTGAAATTAATTTATTTTATTTAGATGAAATTAAATTATTATTTTCTTGGTGGCAGGTGTTTAAAATGTCTAACGCACCATGAATCAAAGCTGTCATCAAAACAGTGATATATCCGAAGGCTAAAACACTTCACCCGGTTTAGAACGCTCGCCTATCGAGGAACCACTTTTCGCCTTACTTCAGGGCGGTAAGCCATATTTTCCATTTACTAAATTGCCATGGATGCAGATGCATCCAGATCCTGATTTTCATTTTCTTAGGGCCACTTGCACCATATATGGTAAACGCTAACTGGAGGTAAAAATATCCTTCAGTTAAGCACATCGACTGTTTTATCGATCACATGTTTTATGCTGGGTGCCGATAACGTCGATAAAGATGTTTAACTGGGAGTTTGAATTAACCAGACGTGGTGCAAATGACCCTTAAGGCCGGTTGTTCAATGTCTGGTTATGACTAATTGCCAGTTAAGCATCATTATCGACGTTTTCGACATCATGCATATAACATGTGATCGACGACTGCTTTCGTTGTATTTAACCGGAGCTTCCACCTCCGATTAGTGCTAATCAGACATTGATCAACCGGCCCTTAGTCGCTTAGAGCGTCAACAACGAATAAGAAGCTGTTCTATCTGTAAAGCGTCTTCCTATATAACGGCTCCGTAGAGAATCTGGTAAAGAGAGTGCCATCATAGCTTGCATTCAAAGAATCTGAACTGTGGATGGAGCCTTGTGTTACACTCGTAGCTACTGGTATACATCTGCGACCTTCAGTACTTCCTAATGTATGACAGCTCTCGGTTTTTTTAAATAGCTTCATACCATGTTTGTAAGATAAAGCGGAATTTCTTTCACTTAAAGTCGCAAGTAGTAAAACCCGTTCAAAGTCGTGGTATGCTCTTGGTACTGCAGCGACGCTGCTTACAACGGATTCAACAACTCCAATGGTTAACTTACCTGGCACACAGCCAACTGCCTGGGCATTAATTCTCCAGAATTATTGGTTGATTTTGCGAGGTGGGCCGTTGCAAAGAGCATCGAGTTCATGAAAATTCGGCTTCTCAGCCGAATGTTTCCCAGTTTTTTCCTGACAACTTTGAAGCCAAGACCCAAGGTATGGTTACTGATGCCATTTCATAGCACATCCCATTTTCGTTTTTATACTCGCTGAGATGTCAGTCTTCAAGTTGTTTTTCGGCGTTTGGCAGCTCCTCTTTATCTGCAGTTGGCTCTTAATTCGACGATTTCTATAGCTCTCCGTCTTTCCTGTCTTGCCGGTTGCATAGGCTTGTCGCAATCCCATACGATACGTTAGCTTCTGCGCATAAGCGCAATTTGGCGGTTAGTGCTGTCTTTAAGTAGATGACCAAGTTCACCACTTTTATCATTACATATCCCTTGGTCTCTACTAGGTGGTCCTTTAAATTCCCACGCATCTTGGCTGAGACTGAAACATCTGAAACAGTGTTTGTTGTTTACCCGCAAACTTATTACGCAATACTCCCAAACAATTTTGATGCGAATCAGCAAGGTTATGGTTTCTACACCCTTCTGGGATGGCGTATCTCCCAGTGTTTTACCGTTAAGTTGATCATGATTTCCCCCGGTTCAGTGATGATATGTAGTTGTTGTTGTAACGGCACTACTAAGCCCCGTCTGGATTGATGTCTTTGGCCTATGATTAGTTGAGCTCGACGACAACGATTGTTGAACAAACTGATGCAGGCGGGGCGTAGTTAAAACAACAACAATACTGATGATCTGTGATGACAGCTGCTTCCTGCAAGGTCGACTTAAGTTCCTTGCAGCATACGGATTCCATTCATTTGGCTATTAATGCTTTTGCTTTCTTCGATTTTTCATGGCCTTTCTGGTCGGTTTGATTGGCTGGGAATGTCTGCTTTGCTAGATTCTTGATTAGAGTTCCGCGGGACATTCGCTCCGGAGGGCTGGTTGTGGAACGTTTCGATTAAATTAAGTTTAATAACGTGAAATTAAAAAAATATAATAATAATGCAAAAACCAAGGCGAATTAATATAAGGTGATAGCAGGAGTACAAAAACAAAAATTTACATGTATTTTTTTGTATAAACTGTCAAAATCTGTAAGAGTGTGTGTAGAAATTCAAACAAAATTTTTCAATTTGATATCAGAAGCCATACACAAAATCAGCTGAGCTAGTAACACCACCTTATATAAATTCGCCTTGGCAAAAACCTTAAAAAGAAACAAATGAAATTAGATCAGCGACCGAAAATGTCAAAAATTGTTTTTTTTTTCAATTTTTATTTTTTCGTCAAGAGTAATTTTTAAATTTAAAAATTTATTTTTTTTCCGTCTAATTTAATCATTATTTTGTGGTGTTCAATCAAAATCAATCGTGTGTTGGAATCTTATTTTTTTCATTACTTTTTACCGTTAAGGGCTGTTTCCAGCTCTCAAGAAAAACAAAAAATTCATTTAAAATGACGCACAAGAATTGAAGAGAAATTTTCTCCTATCGAAATTTCTAAAATCGGTTTGCCGCTCTCAAGAAAATAAATATTCGAATATTTATTTCTTCAGCAAAAGCAAAGTGCCTCTTCAAGCAACAGAAATACTGAAAAATATTTCTTGCGGTTTTTATTGAGAGCTGGATTTCACGTTTTAAAATGGAAATTGCGTATTTATGATCGATTTAAATCTTTTATCATCAAAAAAGTAAAAATTAGCCCGAAAATAACGATTATACTCGTAATATGATCGAAAAGATAAAAATCAAGAATAATGATAAAAAATAAAAACTTAATCGAAAAAATAAAAATCATAAAATAACGGTTTTCTTAATTTAACCGGGAAAATAGAAATACAAAATGCATCAAATTTAAATTACCTTCAAACTGGCAAATTTTATTCGTTTCTTTGCTGCTACCTATAGAGCGACCGAACATCGATTTTTAGAGCCGAACCGAACTTCGGCCAATTTTGTACAACTTTTAAATAAAAAAAAAATAAATACAAATTTTCAGCCAAAGTTCGGTTTTTTTTTGGCCGAAGCCGAACCGAACTTTCGTTGCCGAACATGATCAGAGTCGAAACCGAAGCCGAAATTCTCTACTGCTATCCATATAATACTATACAAAGGGAATTTTATGTATTTAGTTTTTGTTTTTTTAATTCGATATTGCTTAACGATTGTCACGTTATTATGCCAAAACCAAAATGATTGTTCGATAGTTGGCCGCACGCAATTAGGTTAACTACAGTTGCAATGCAGGCCTAACAAACACATACTACATAATTTCATACATACAACCAGCCATTTGTGTGCCCTCACATATGCAACTGAACACATTAAAATCAAGTTTGTCTGTCCGTTTGTTGACTAAAATCGCAGTTTGCTTGCGCACAACTTCCAGCGAATTCATTTCAATTACTTAATTACCTGTATTAAGTAGTAGAAAATATATGTTGGTAGATATGCTTATGGATGTATGTATGTATATATGTATGTATGTGCTGACCAAAGACACAAAATGAAACATGCAAAAGAAAATATCCAAACAAGATTTTAATTTTCAAAATCGACACAGAAGTTGCATGTGACCCACTAAGCTGGTGCTTGCTGCTTGCGGCTTATCGCTACTCGCTGTGCGTTATTGAATGGCGTTTGGTCGTCAGCACCCAAATTGGCACTCTTGACTCTAGCTGTAAGAAGTTGGAAGTACAGCTTTTCAACACATTTTTCTTTAATAACCTCTGTATGTTGTATCAGTCACGAGTTCGGTGGCAAGGTGTCTTGTGACATACGCTGACTCGTGGACAGGGTTGCCACTTTGGTAAATTGTTACCAAAATTGGTAGAAAAAATTTGGGTTGGTAAAAAGGTAAATTTTTTCTCATTTTGGTAGATTTTTGATGAAATTTCCGTTCCCGATTTATTTTTCGTAGTTATCTTTAAATATAAAATTAAATAAATAATTAATAAAATTTCTTTGCATACTTTTTATATAATTACATACGTATAAAAGTAAATCGATATAAGGCGAACATATCGCGCTCCATTCAAAACTAATTTTACTGGAATCCCGAGGAGCTTTTGATTGCCTAAATATTTTAAATGATTATTTAAATATAAAGAAAAAATTTACAGGTATGTAATTACGCACCATGATTGTTCGCAACAAGAATTAAATCAACGCCATTTTCTATCAATGGAAAAAAATTAAAAAAATCAATGAGAATTTTAAGCAGCACATTTTTGGCTATACTCAAATAGTATTTGCTTTAAAACTCCATACCTCAAATTGTTCTAAAAATTCTGAGTGAAAAATTCGAAATTTAGACGAAAATTTTTGGAATTTTT